TATTTACAGTGTGTATATGATGAATGCAGTGTGTGTGTATGAATGCAGTGTGTGTGTATGTGCGCAGTGTGTGTGTATGAACGCAGTGTGTGTGTATGAGTGCGCAGTGTGTGTGTATGAATGCAGTGTGTGTATGAATGCAGTGTGTGTGTGTATGAATGCAGTGTGTGTATGAGTGCAGTGTGTATGAGTGCAGTGTGTGTATGAGTGCAGTGTGTGTGTATGAATGCAGTGTGTGTGTATGAATGCACAGTGTGTGTATGAATGCAGTGTGTGTGTATGAATGCAGTGTTTGTGTATGAATGCAGTGTTTGTGTATGAGTGCAGTGTGTGTATGAATGCAGTGTGTGTGTATGAATGCAGTGTGTGTATGAATGCAGTGTTTGTGTATGAGTGCAGTGTGTGTATGAATGCAGTGTGTGTGTATGAATGCGGTGTTTGTGTATGAGTGCAGTGTTTGTGTATGAGTGCAGTGTGTGTGTATGAATGCAGTGTGTGTGTATGAATGCAGTGTTTGTGTATGAGTGCAGTGTGTGCATGAATGCAGTGTGTGTGTATGAATGCAGTGTTTGTGTATGAGTGCAGTGTTTGTGTATGAGTGCATTGTTTGTGTATGAGTGCAGTGTGTGTGTATGAATGCAGTGTTTGTGTATGAGTGCAGTGTGTGTGTGTGATGCAGTGTGTGTGTGTGAATGCAGTGTGTGTGTGTGAGTGCAGTGTGTGTGTGTGTTGCAGAGCCTTGGTGGGGGGGTGGGCATTTTTATAAAAAAAATTTTTTATTATTTTTGTTATATTATTATTTTTTTTATTAATTTTTTAAAATTATTTATATATTATTATTTATTTATTTATTGTCCCCCCTCCCTGCTTGATACATGGCAGGGAGGGGGGCTCTCCTTCCCTGGTGGTCCAGTGGCATTGGCAGTTCAGTGGGGGAAGGAGGGGGGCTGGCAGAGCTGTTACTTACCTCTCCTGCAGCTCCTGTCAGCTCTCTCCTCCTCCGCGCCGGTCCGTGCAGCTCTTCTGTCAGCTCACACTGTAAGTCTCGCGAGAGCAGCACTATGACCCCGCGGCTCTCGCGAGACTTACACTGGGAGCTGACCGAGGTGCTGACCGGACCGGCGCGGAGGAGCAGGGAGCTGACAGGAGCTGCAGGAGAGGTAAGTAACAGCTCTGCCAGCCCCCAGTCTGTATTATGGCAATGTAAATTAATGTAAATTGCCATAATACAGACAGTGACTCGAGTATAAGCCGAGTTGGGGTTTTTCAGCACAAATAATGTGCTGAAAAACTCGGCTTATACTCGAGTATATACGGTATGTTCGAGGAATTTTCCCTAAATATAGATTTGCAGGATTCCATGTGCTAGTTGGCTAACCTATGTTCGACGAAGTTTCCCTGAACATAGATTTGTAGGATTCCATGTCTTAGTGAAATGGTCTATGTTCGGGGGAATTTCCTTGAACATAGACCTTCTTTCTTGCACATGCTTGCTACAGTTTTCCCCCCGAAAATTAAAACATCCCTCGAAAATAAAAATTAATATAAGACCGGGTTTTATTTTCAGGGAAAACCGGTAGTTTGAGTTTAGGCGCAGAGATAATTTTTTTATGTTTGTATTTGCTTTTGGTTTAGACAGCCATGTTCCAATGCTGCCGCCCACCCCATGTGTTCCCTATTAAGGGCTAATAAGTGTGTAGGAGTTTAGAAAAATACCCCTCTCTGTCTCAGTAGAGATTTGGCCTTTCAGTTGAAAACCGCAAGGTGGAGTAGTACTCACCTGAACTCACCTAAGAGGTTTTACATTTACATAGCAGGTGAGCTTACACTTTAATGGCTACTGGAATTGATACTAAACCTCCACGTATATAAATGTGCGTAGGAATTTGTGATAGTGCGCAAGGAACTTTTTTCATATGTATTTATTTTTCCAAAATATCATAGAAACCAATATAGAAACGATAGGAAACAGTGAAGATAAAAGCTATTATATATATTCAAAAAGATCTAAACAATTTATTATGTTATTTAAAAAAAACCTGAGATTGTAAAAAAACAAACAAACATAATTCTAAAGGAGAAACACAACACCAAACTAAATGCTAGCATGGATTATCTGTAACGTGAGAATTACAGTTTCCCCCTGTACACCTTGGGAAGGGGGATCATGACTGCTGCCCATGCTGGACTAAACTGGATAAAATGTTGCAAAGATATGGGGTTTGGGGAGAGGAGTGGGGAGGAGACTTACCAGTCAGCAGAGACTCTGGAAGGAAACTGGTGAAAATTCCCACCCACCCACCCCTTGATGTGTTAGTTTTGTTTTGTTTGGTATCTTGCTGTTGTTTCTTGTTTTGTCACAGCTTGGCGGGATCCCTGGACAGCGCAAAAGGGAGAAAGGGAGAAAGACACAGAGTCGAGTTGGGGAGACGACAGACCGCACAAGGGCTGATGGCAAGTGCCGGCTGTTGAGGCTCGTGGGAAAAAGAGGTGGAGAACTGTCTGTTGGGTTAACCACCCAACAGCTGGCAGGTCATGGTTACTGGATTTGAATTAAGTTAATAAAGCTGTGGCCATTGCCCTTATCCTCAAGAAAATTGTGTGGTGTCTTATTGGGAGGGCAACGGGAAGGTAAAAGGAGGATGGGTCAGCAGTCATGAGAATTCAAAGTGAATTTGAGGTGAATTTCAAATTTAAGGCAGAAATAGCCAAGCTGAAAATGGAATTGACTTGGAGAATTATCCCGATTTGGCTATTTTGGCCTGAATTTTGATATTCACTTTGAATTTCTGAAAAATCCTCACTTTAATGAATATCACTAGTGATATTTTTTTAACAATCCAATAGATAACTATGGGTTGTGCTTTACTTCTTCTACATTTATGTAATTAATTCTCAATGGTTTCTAATTTACAGTGTATGTATGATTGTACTGGCATAAGATCTATTGAAGAAATGAACTCATGAAATTTCACTGTAGATGCAAATAAGTGCATTCTGAGCACCTTAGGGAAATTGCCCTGGAGTTAATGAAGTGTTGAAGAGATACATGTTTTATGACAACCAGAAATGACTTTCTGCCCCTGTTATAAAATTGCTGATTTTTATTGAAATTGGCCCTTTTAGAAACTATAAAAAAAAATTAAAAAATTAATACAATCAGACACATTTGGCACTTCAACAAGCTGAAGTGCTTTGCTTGTATTGAGTCTTTCTTTAATAAAAATGGAAATGTAGTATAAGGACAAAAAAACATCACAAACAAATTAAAACAGGAGCAATGGTTTAGCGTTACAATGATTGACAGAGAGCTAAGTCGGGGCTCCCCGACGCAGGATGAAGTGGTGTGAATTTCAACATTTAATTTTAAATTCCACACCTCACAAATACATATTTGTTAAATGTAGGGTTAGGTAAACAAAATATTAAAAGCCATATTAGGATAGCTCTCTCTGTAATATATCCCAAGAGAATTAAACACTTTTGGTGCCAAGCAAATGTATTGCGAATTTGCAAGACATAAATTCCCCTGCATTTACTGTGTGCAGTAGTATGCATTCTCTTCGTAAAATGACCATGATCACTGCAAGGTCAGCAGTGTTTAACACAATCCACATTCATAGCCTCAGCCTTGGATGGGAATTACAGAAATCTAAACCTGTCAGCCTTTCAAAACATCATACTGAGCGGATACATGATACACTCAAAGGACAGGACAATAGACAGTCAAGGTGGATATGGGTCTACAGAGAAGACGCATGCAGTGCACCTTAAATAATGCCATCATTGAAATGGTGCCTTCAGAATATTGTATGTCAATTCAAAGTCAATGTAATGACTTGATATTCGATAGAGCAGAGCGTCATTACAGAACACATACATAAACGTGTAGCATCGTTATCATGGTATCTAATAGCACTGTAGTGTTTTTATGAGGCCACTATTGTTAAAGGGTATTAAGGTTTAGGGGGTAATTTAGATTATAATTTGAGGATATAGTTTGTTAGAATAGGACCTGCCAAAAACAGGATACATTGAAAAATAAGGAAATTGTGGGCACAAATGGAACATGATTTTCTCAGCAGTGGTGCTGCCGTAGAGACCAAAATTTATACTAAAAGACTGAGAAAAAGACAAAAAACCCCCACAATTTTAAATTTTACTAGGCTCATTAAAACAATCTATTTTAGAAAACAAATATGGGGATTCAGTTCTACCACATGGCCATATTGTGTTAAGTCCACCACTACTTCACAGTACCCCAATATTGGTGGGTCCGATATTAATTTTAACAAGGTAGACAAATTAAATAGTGCTGGTACTAAATTAACTAAAGTGTATTTAAGTAATCAGTTGTAAGAGCATTATAAATATTTATCATGAAAAATTAATGTGACACATTTTTTAAAATAATATTTATTTGATACAGAGCAGATATATACTATGCATTGTACGTTTATACATAAAAGCATTTCAATTATTTAGTTATGACACTTTATTTTTTATTTTATCACTTTTATTTTTCATGATATATATTCACAGTGCCTTACGACTTTTTAAAAGGACACTATAGACACCCAGACCACATCAGCTCATTGTAGGCAGGGAAGGAATGGAGGCAGAGCTCGAGCCAGCACCGAGGAACATCAGTGCTAGATTTAGGTAAGTGACAGAAGCTTAACACAATGTGGCCATGCGGTGTATGTGAAGCCCCATATTTGTTTGCTGAGATACGTGATTTTAACTAGCCTTGTAAAATGTGACACTGTGTTTTTGTGTGTGCTGTCCCTTAATCTGTATTTTGAATAAAAAATAGGGTACACTGGCATTGTGGCAGACATATGCAATGTATGATCATAAAAAAAACAATAGAACAAGCTGTAGATGGCACTAAATAAATGAATCTTTCACCTTATTATAAAAACTTTTTTTATTAGCAGCACCTTAATAGTGTATTAGCTCTCCAACATTCAATTCTAAAAAAATACAAATATAAAGACCACATATTGAATATGCTGTGCAATTTTGGGCACCTGTTCTAAAGAAGAATATTATGGCACTAGAAAAAGTGCAAAGGCGGGCTACAAAAATAATAAAAGGAATGGAGCATAACAGCTATGAAGAAAGGTTAACAAATTTAAACCTATTTAGTTTAGAAAAACGTTGCCTGAGAGAGGATATGATAACATTATACAAATATATTCGTGGCCATTACAAACCATTGTGTGGAAATCTATTCACAAACCGGACTTTACATAGGACACAAGGTCATGCGTTTAGACTGGATGAAAAAAGATTTTGTCTAAGGCAAAGCAAAAGTTTTTTTACTGTAAGAACAATAAGGATGTGGAATTCTCTGCCTGAAGAAGTGGTTTTATCAGAGTCCATACAGATGTTCAAACAGCTATTAGATGCATACTTGCAAGAACAGAATATTCAAGGATCTTTCAATGTTACAAGAATAAATCTGACTGCCAATCTGGGGTCAAGAAGGAATTTTTGTTCCTAGCTTTTTGCAAAATTGGAAGTACTTGAAACTGGGTTTTTTCCTTCTTTTGGATCAACAGCAAAAAACAAATATGAGGAAGGCTGAACTTGATGAACGCAAGTCTCTTTTCAGCTATGTAACTATGTAACTATGTATGTAAAGTACACTGTGCCGTTAAGATTGTGCTCATGCGGTTCCCAGATGCTGGCATTTCTGGCTTCCCAAAATCTCTTTGCCAGTGTCCATTTCTTTTATATCTGGCTATATGGGCGTGCATTAGTCGAGATAGGTGCTATTAAAAGTCCATATGCAAATAAATCCCTGTCTGTCTCTAGGTCAGTGTAACAAAACGTGTCACAAAAACACCCCAGTTAACCAGTATAATGGCTGCCTATATATATGTGAACTCAGACTATTTGTTGTTTTACCTTCTGACTATGGCCCTGGGATATATGGCATTTAAAAACACTATTTGTGCCCTGTGACAAAACTGGAGATTGTGCACAAATATGACTATTGTCCATATGTTTTATGATTCCCTTCGTTTGTTGCACTGTTCCCCATGTGTTTTATCTGTTGGTTCGGCTGGATAGACTACCAGACAAACTGTGGAGTTACTGGGTGACCACCATTTCATGTATCAGAGGCACATGGTGAGAACAATGGATGAAGCACATGGTGCTTTGACTTTTTTTACTTTTCTACACAGTGCCATCTCGCCGGTATTTGGTGCACAAAGACATAGTTCAGTAGTTTTAAACTACAGAACAGGGGACACATTATAGAGTAATTATTTTGCATATAGCCTGTATATGTTCTGTGGAATCTGCATTAAACCGTATCTTCCAAACTACTGAACGGATCTGGGTGAATTTTGATATGTGGTTCACCCAGATCCACCGGTTCCGAGGATATCCAGGGTGGACAGAAGACGGCGGTTGTGGAGTCTGCGGTGGTTGTTGTGTCCAGTGCGGTGCTTGTGGTCCTCGGCGCAGGCTAGGAAGCGTTCATCAACAGAAGGTACTCGGTCGGAGTACGTGGAGTTCCGTTACAGTCTATTCTAATCTAACAAAATGTAAAGAGACATAAACAGAAAAATCGCTTTCAATAGAAATACACCTAAAAAGCAAATAAAATCTGTAGAATCACATTAAATACTTCAAGCAAATTCTGCTCACAATTTTCACCTTAAAATGTCCAACATTAGAAAATATATATAAAAATATAAAAATACAAATAGAATCAGAAACATTGATATATCTAAAGGAGTGTTACATTCAATGACACCCACAATTTAAATGGAACCTCACATGAAAATTTAATTTTTATATATATTTAATATAAGATAAAAGATAAAGAGAAAGATAAAGATAAAAGATTAAAAATGCATAGAAATAAACAAAAATGTAAAAATTTATAAGAAATTAAACAGATCAAACTCAATATTTAGACCAAACGGTTCTAACGTATTAAGTTAATACACCCATTTAATTTCCTCCTTTCCTATCTCACGAATATGATTGCCACCTCTCCAAGACTTTTGGATACCTAAAAAACATTAGACCCTTAGGGTCCATGTTATGGTGCTTCTTGAAGTGTGCCGACACACTGTGCTGCTCATATCCTTTCCGTATATTATTAACATGCTCCGTTATTATTTTGTGCAGTGGGCGTATAGTCCTCCCCACATACTATAGTCCGCATGGACAAATGAACACGTTAATTAGATTCCTAGTGAAGCATGTGATAACATCTTTTATAGGGTATTCATCATTCTTATAGTTTGTTTGAATTTTTTTATCCCTTTGAATGTGTTGTTCTTACTACATTTAAAGCCAGTGCACTTGTTACATGAATAAAAACCCTTTCTCTCTGCTAAAAAGTTATCCTTTTGATTTTCTCCAGATTCTTCTCTAAGATAGATATTTTAAAATTGGGTGGTCCTTTAAACGTAATAAAAGGTCTGCCTAGTAATATTGTGTTTAATTCTCTTTTTTAAGTAGATGCCAATGTTTATTTACAATGTATCTCATTTCTTTAAACTTTGCATTAAAATCAAAAACTAGTGGTGCAACTTCACTAGCCCTAATTGGTGTTTTGTCATTATGCCTAATTAAATCATCATGACTGTATTTCTTTACTTCCTCCCAGGCTTTAAGTACCAGTTCGTTAGGATATTTCTTCTGTTTACATTTTTCTTCCAGAATTCTAGCTTGTTCCTCATACACCTGAGTGCTTGTGCAATTTTGCCTAACTCTTTGGAATTGGCCTCTGGGGATGTTGTTTAAACCATGTGGTTAATCTCATCATTGTGGGTGTCATTGAATGGAACACTCCTTTAGATATATCAATGTTCCTGATTCTATATGTATTTTTATATTTTTATATGCATTTTATAATGTATGTCATTTTGGGAATTTTGTTATATCAGAATAGCTGACCTAGAGACAAACAGGAATTTATTTGCATATGGACTTCTAATAGCACCTATCTAGACCAGGGGTTCTCAACCTTGCCCTCAAGGACCCCCTACCAGTCCAGGGTTTAGGGATTACCTTAGACACACCCAGGTAATCCCCAAATCCTGGACTGGTAGGGGGTCCTGAGGACTGGGTTGAGAACCCCTGATCTAGACTAATACATGCCCATATAGGGGATATAAAAGAGACGGACACTGACTGATACATTCACCTGATGAAGCCAATTGCGGCGAAATGCGTCATCACGTTGTGACACAGGACGTTGTGGACTCCACCTCCCGGAACAGGCAAAGAGATTTTGGAACGCCAGAAGTGCCGGCATCTCGAAACCATATGTCTCTTGTGCGTATTGTACTGCCAGTGACAAGAAGAACCCACATTTGAGTGCCTGCTGTTTTTATTTGAATGGTATAAGATTGTTAATTCTTTATTCTTGGTCGTCCATCTAATCTGTCAAGGAAGTTATTCCTGGGTGCACTGACATACAGTGAAAAAGCGCGAGCAGCCTGAGCAGTCTCTTTACCTGCTCTCTATTTGTGAGTGTGATAATCTACCTCTTTTTAACCATATCATTGTGTTAGCAATATTACACTAGTTTGCTTTGATATACTGTTTTCATGTGGAAAAATCATCTCTCTATGAACAAAATTTGTGAGTGAAATAGCACATTTATCTTGCACATTGGTTTTAAGTATTGACTTACACAAAGTTTATAATGCACTTTTAATATTTATGCATTTTAATGTGGAATGGTGCAATAATATTTGCACGTATATTTTGCAGTGTGCTTGCACAAAAATATTGCACAAATTACTGGTTTCCTGCACGAGGAACTACAGTTTAATTCTGAGCACAAGCACTTTGTTGCATTTAATTACTTGCTGGGGTTGATTGTAATACACAAGACTTTTTGTGAGCACAATCTTTTACACAGCACAGCACACTTTATATTTGTTTGTTTTTTATGTATGATCATATACTGTAACTGGACCCCATTATTTTTGCCTAAGTTCGATGTTAAAAAATGTATTTTTTAAAATGTCATTTTGTGAGCTTTGAAGTTGATGTTTAGGATTCTCTCTCTCTCTCTCTCTCACTCTCTCTCTCTCTCTATATATATATAGTCCTGGTTCTGTATTGCACTTTAATTCCATGTGTTAATAAGAGCATAAAAATCACCATGGCAGATTTCAAGATACAGAAGGGCCCAAATGACACAGCCATGAGGACCCCGGGCATATACATCAATGTAGATCATCATAGAGATAGAAAGAATGATTATCAAGTTCACATCGTATACATCAAGCTTGGTACCAACTTATAGAACACAATGCATTAATTTCCCTATGAATAAGTAAAAAGATCACATTTTAAGATTAACAAACCAACTGCAATTTATTAAAGCTGCTAACCTTCATACGTCATCTTCCTACACAGAGCCAACAAATTGATTCTACCGTGGTAAAACTGGCTCACCAATAAACAAAAGTGATAAGTCAAGAGAGAAGAATGACACTAAAGAAGAAAAAAAAAGTCCAAAAAAATAAAATACCAAAAATTCATGGAAACCAGCTGGTTCTGCTCTCAATCCCAAAGTCGGATATTGATATGTGCAAAAATCAATAAATCTAGCAACAAGCTTGATCTTACAGATCATACATGCATCAGTCCAATTTTCCAATAAATAGACAAATGGAAGGAAAGGGAAGTGTTATCTCCCATGCAAAATCACATTCCTCAAATACAAACTCCCTGAAGCCAAGTGAAAGACCTTGTGATTTCTGAGCCACATTTTAGACATATTTCTGGAATCCGTCATTTTTATATCAGTGACCTAACTAATGTCATTGTTGAGTACAAGCCAAAGTCCTGTAGCAGTGTGCTCCATACGTTATTAACCTGCTCTATGATAAAAATCAATCTATCTATTAAACAAGGGGTCCACCTACTATTGCTTAAAATGTAATTGCCAAAACTTTCCTAAAAAAAAAAAAATTTTTATACAAACTTTATTTTATTACAAACACCTTATTTATGGCTTAAGTGATGTTCAAAAATAAATCGGAACCCAATTTTAAAAACACGTAAGGGTCTCTAGTCCGCTGATCACATTCCATCGGGACACGAGTCTAAACATGGAACTTTACATTAATGGATTCAATTTAACATCTCTTGGACAATAACAAAGATATATTTTTGATTTTGAAAGACCCGCCACATTTGACATATGGTCACATAAAACTAATTAGATGATAGAAGTAAATGAGCTGACTTTATGGTTCCCATTTGCACCCGAATGAGTCACAGGCAGTAGGCCTAGGCATAGGCCACTAATATACGTGTTATCTCCCAAGGATTAACCCTATCACCCTATCTGCATTTCCATCTATATGCTAATGACATACATTGATACTTTAGAACGTTGGAACTTCAACAAGAACAAGCCAACATAACCAACTCACACCTCAAAGATACTGGCAACATAATGAGAGACCGAGATATAGAATTTAATTAGAAAATCAACCCCATAAAGCTCATTACTAGTGAAGCAAAAACAATTTACAACTCATTAAAAATAATTATTATAGGAAGCAGGGCACCATACACAGATGTTTATAAGGAGGTGAAGTAGCTTCTGAGCTGCCTCATTACCTGCAGTTCTCTGTGCCAAAGCAGGTATGGGTATCCTACAATGATAATGATGACTCCATGAGTTATCTACTAAAGTGTAAATTGTGTGGAATCCGAAGGGAATTCAATCTGAAAACAAAGCTGATGTGCAGATTTCTTACATTGGCTATTTGGCTACAATTTGGAACGCTCTATGAATTCACTGTGAATTTATCATCAAATCACGCTTTATTAAATAACCCTGAGTATATTTTCCTCATCTGATTCCATCTCTATGTTACCTTTCTGCTCTAATCTTTCCATCATAAACAAAAACAGGGTACAGGAGAATACTGAGAACGCAAACAATAGCACGCAAAAGAATTTACTTTGATTCCAAGGCTCAATCTTATAGGTGTCATATTAAAATTGGCTAACTTGGAAATGCTTAATGCTTAAAACAACACTTAAGACCAAATATGCCTAGTTCTGGGAACAGATAGTCCCCACCTGAGCTGTCTCTCCTAAATCAGTCTGTTGTTTCTCGGAAATTATCTGTTATATGTACATGACGTTCCTCCCTATGTATTATCTGTACTCCTTTCACCCTTTCACTCCCTTCCTACTACTGTCCTATGAGTATTTGCACGTAAGCACTTACTTTTTCATGTATAAAAACATAACTGACAAAATAAAGTTTAGAGGCCTTTTTTGAATACCAACAGGTGTCTGGTGTCCAACACTCCTCCATGTGCACTTGAAATAATAATTTGGGCTCCCTTGAATATTCCAAAGACCACATTGGATCTATATCAAGCTCGAATAGCTTCTCCTTTGGTGAGTCCTTGCTAAGTATTCAAGTTGGTTTTAGTTCAGTGTGTTCCATTATAGAGGGAACATACACTATTTGCCTAGGACACAGATTACAGTCAGAACGGTGGTCCAGATCTGAAATGCTGCCTGGCTCCCTCTGCACGAGAGATATAGCAACCCTAGACAATCATTTTGCCATTTTAAACCTTGGTGGGACTCATCTGTGGCGTGTGTCCGATAATCCTCTAGGCTCAGTGAGGAGAGCACGGAGTCCATGTCTCGATTACCCTTTTACCTTAGGATGGACCTGGCATTTTGCAAATAAACTAAAGCAGAAAATAACGAGAACAGATGGCGAACAGCTTACCATTTGGTTGGCCCTCGCTTAGTACTCAAGCTGGTTTTATCTCATCCCTTACCATAACAACCCTTCCATTTTTAATAATCTTTTAATGCCAAAGATGCCGTCCAAGTTAAAATGTGCCACTGTTTATAGCATATATAGCCTTGTACATGTCATGTAGGTAAGTGTACACAGATGTTTTTTGTAGGTTCCAGTTATGTAAAACAAAAACTTATGGGTCTTAATCAGTAAGCAGAATACATGTAAACAGAAGTCATGTCCAAACACAGTCTTGACGTACATTTTCTTTGACTCGGATCCTGGTTCAATACATGATTGGTCACCTTAAACATATAGCATACATATTCTCATATATGTTGTTACTTGGCATTAACGCTAAGGCTCTGGTGACCTTTCTGGATACCTTGATGGATGGTCCTATATTACTGATAAACGATAACAAATTACATGACCTTTATGTGCAACCTGTGATAATCTGTAGACTACTTTTCTTTAGAAATATAGTACGCTAGCAGTGGTGGGAGGGGAGTTAAACACCTGTTTAGTATCCACTAGATTGATTTATTTGCCCACTGTACACCTTGTGGTATATGATGCTACATTGCATAGCACTCATAATAATTAAATGGCTATATGTGAATGGTGGGAGGTTTCCGCCTTTGGAATTACCGGTGTTGATCTGAGCATCATTCAACTGCTTTGGAGCTGAATCTGAGAATTCTATAGATTTTCTGCACTCGTTCTTTTCTTTCGTATTGTATATTATTTATTATGCATGTCTTTGTGTTTGTTGTTTGTTTTGGTTTTGCTACGTGTAAGAGAAAACGCTGATAAGGAATCTACGGACTGTGAAACAGACCAAATAAAAATGAAATTTGGCATTTATCACACCGAAAAATGGAAGTTGAAGGCTGCTTTCCCGGGAGCCAGAGACCAATAAAACCAACATGTTTCTTGCACAGCCAGTAGGCATTACGGTATATGTGAATAAAGTAGCAATTATTTATCCAAACCATTGCTTTCCAAATGACATTGCTACAACAGTTTAGATTTAATGTGTGATTTTATTCCCGGGCGCAGGTTCATTAGGCAGAGAGGTATGCAATCCATGCTAATGTCAATAAAAGTGGCTATACATTCAATCTATACAGGCAATGCAGCACATATCCAATGCGAATAGTCTAAAGCAGTGGCTGCGTTTTATCCCAGTGTCCCTCGTGTTTATACTACAAGTGAAAAGAAAAGAAATGAAAAAGAGATAATGCTGTGGCTGGTGAATTAAATTCTTCAAATTAAATCAGAGCAGGGGGCAAATGACCTTCAGGCCGGCCTGCCTCTGCCACCGGGATCCCAAAAGAGTTTGTTTTCTCCAATGAAGTTCCGTTTCAAGCTACATTTAATAACTTACACTGAATAATGCTACGTCTGTAGTGCTTAGAAGCATGTAGCAGCACAGAAACTGCATAAAACTATCCATCCATCTCCCTGTGAGCTGTCAGTTCTCTTTTACAGCTAAACGGTCACTTCTCTGGAAATTACATAATTGAATAAAACATTGAAAATTATCTATAACTTGCATTAACCTTTGTTTCACACGGTTTTCTTTTAAAATGTATTTTAAAGATAAAGCAAGTGACGCCACAATCTAGTTTAATTTAGGTATAACCGGGGCACAGGGTGTAGTTCTCCCCCTCGGGTGACAAACAGCAGGGGAGTGCACAGCATGAGCAGACACCTACCTACCAGCACCTTGCTCACTGGGTGCTGCATGGCAAGTACCTGCTCTGATCCTGTGCTGTGGATTCTTCTGCTCATGGGAACTCTCGGCACTGATTTCCCAACTCCCTAGTGCACCCTGTATTGCTGCTGGAGTCGGAATATGATCTCATTAACAGTATAGAGCAGCAGGCAGCTGGGCAGTAAGAGAGACCCCTCAATTCCCAAGTGGACACCAGGGATGAGTTTCCACTCCAGCTGTCCCTGTCAAGGTAGGAACAGGGGAGCTGGTTGGACCTCAGTGTTTAATTAAAAAAACAAAACTATTATTTAATAAAATAAAATGTGATTCCTTTTTTTTTTTTTTTTACAAATAAGATAAGGCAGAAAAATGCTTTTCTGGCAGGTTTCATGTAACCTAGGTATATGTATAATTAGGTATGTCTCTGGTCTAAACCAGGTCACACAATACAAATTAGAAAGAAAAGTGAAACTTTGAGGGAGATTTCTAATTTTAAGGAAATGTTTGGTGCAATTTATTAAATCTTTTAGATTTTTTTCATCTGTTTTTCTTTTGCTCCTTAGCACTCATTTTTCAGTATACGTTATGTAAAATAATGATTGACAGGGAGCCAAGATGGATATGCCAAGATCCAGAATAAATGTGTGGATTTCTTCATTTAATTCTATTTTCAGACCTCATAAAACATATTTAGTGAATGTACGGTATAAATAAAACAAAGTATTAAAAATTCTGGGAAGCGACAGTTCTGCTTTCAAAGTTACACCATCACAACTGGGGGATCTTATTCATCACACCTGCATTCAGAAAATATATTTACACCCCGCTTCCTGCACACATGTACACACACACACACACACAATCTCACAAATTAATACTCTTGTATTGCAGGGTCACCCATTCAAATTTTATTCATTTAATATGTTTTGGCCTCAATATGCTGCATTGTTTGCATGCTGAACTCTTAGTACCATGTTTGCCTGAAAATAAGCCCTAGGTCAATCTGACCACCAAAGCAACCTGCATTAGAAGGAGAGAACACCCAGGGAGATATATAGTTAGGCTATCACTACCTGTTTGTAGTTCCTCTGACTGTCTGCAGCCAGGTTGTGAACTGAAAGCAGCTCACTCAGTACTGTTAGAGGCAAAGCTGTGCTCATGCATTTGATAAGTAAGTTTGGCATGAGAAGGAAAACATTTTTTTTTTGTGTGTGCTAACACTATAAAGATTTGTGCATGCAAACAAATAAAGCACATTAATGCATTAAAGTTCTATTGGTGCTTGGAGTGTCCCTTTAACTCCAGAGCTGCTATAGAAGCTACTTTGGGAGCTCAATTGTCAACCTTTTTTTAATTGACAAAGTCCCGCTGCATGACCAGCCTGTCTCCCAAATTGTTCTACAACCTCAGGCTTTAGAGATCAGACTTTTGTGTTGACTCAGGTAAATAAAATCAATTCAACCAAGCAGATAACACCCCTGCCAGCGAGGTCATCCAACTGTTATTTGCTCACGTAAATTGTATAATTACTGCAGACATTAGCCATGTACCTGTGACAAAAAAAAAAAGAAACAATTGTATCTCCCAGCTAGGTGCCAGCTGTTTAATTCTGCCCTTTATTATAAAACAAAAGTAGTTGGTTCATCACATTGCTAATTAGTATTGCAAACATAAAAGCCTGATTTGCACCTGATATGGCTTCGTCATCAGAAACTGCATTTGCACCTTAATAAATTACTTTAAAATTGCTAATACCTGTTTGCTAGTAAATTTTTAAATCCATTGGGCAGCTCCTATGTTTTCTTTGTAATATTGTTGCAGAAGCCCTTGGTATCAGGTTACACAGACTCACTCCGGACACAGGTCGTAGGAAAACAATCAACGATTTATTTGATGGCCGGCCAGTCTCAGCCAGACTCGTGTCTGTAAAGGGCTGAGCACTCAGTTACAACTTAACAAAGCTTATATATCACAGATGACGCAGTTCATACGTACAGAGGAGATGCAAGGGTTACTCCCAAACTGCTTCAATTATTAACCAGTTAGCAAGCTATTACTTATTACTACATGCATTAGCTGCTTGTAAGCATTCCTACACATGCGCCTTGGTTTTAAGTGTTTATACAGCAGTGTAACCCTATAAGGTCATATGGTCTGGGGGCATTCTATAACCTCTATCACAGTATGAGTTGAACAAAAGCTTTCTAGAAATAGTGGGTTTCCTCACTTTCAAAAAAACAAAAAAACTCCTGTACGGAACAGTACAGAGAGCTAATCAGCGCAACTCAGCAAATCACAGGTTCTGATTGGCTACTGATATCACATACAAACAGTAAAACTGTAACATCTCAAAGTGCTAGTTATTATTATTATTATTTTATTATTTATATAGTGCCATCAGATTCCGTAGCGCTGTACAATGGGTGGACTAACAGACATGTAATTGTAACCAGACAACTGGACGTACAGGAACACAGAGGTAGAGGGCCCTGCTCAATGAGCTTACATTCTAGAGGGAGTGGGGTATAGTGACACAAAGAGTAAAGGTAGGGGTACGAAGTAGGTTGTTAGAAAAGTATTCACTGAGGGCTTAGTAGGTAACTTTTGACAGTTGCAGGAGAGGAGTCATGGGGGGCCGGGGGATAAAAACCTGTTAACAGTTTAATTGATATGCTTTCTTGAAGAAGTGAGTTTTCAATGATTTTTTAAGGAGATTTTTTTAGTTGTAGGAGAACTTCCTACTGATTAGTCAGATGAAGATAATTAATCTATTAGTAGTGTTGCTTTAAACTGATGAATGAAATGCTAATTCTAGTGACATGAGACACTTTGAAAAATAGATTTTCAACAAGACTGGTTTCTTGTTGCCCTCATAGAAGCCTAAAGGACGTTTTTTTTCCAAGTAGTCATAGGTTTTCAATTTACAGAACTGCTGTGTCACAACCTCTGTATTAATTGCATGATTGATCCTGCACTTTTTCCTTAAGTATCGAACGAAGGAACCTAAGCCCCATATACGTATGGCCAGAATGCAAGACAGCGTTTTCTATAACGAAGACAGGTTATGTCCTTTACAAGCTGGCTGATCAAAAACGTAAGAAAACTCATACTGGTCTGACATTATAAAAAATATATATCTAAAAAAACAAAAACATTTATTTTAACAATCTCATTTTAATATTATCTGAGATTGAAATGGATGAGCACATTTTAAAATACCTTATTGGCCAGTTAACATTTGGAGGCTGCAGGCTTTTTTTTTTTTATCATTCTTATTACTATTAAAATTTGCTTTATTGAAGCTTCTGCAAGATTTAATCCAGAAATCAATCTTGAAATATTAGCAAGCAGCTTGCCTTTGACTGACTTCCAGAATCTTGATAAACACCTGAATTTTGCCGATAATTTGATAAAGCAGTGTCGCATAGTAAACAGTTTGTCATAATGCCATAATCTTTTTCACAGCAGTGTATGTAGGAGCGTGGTAACGCATAATTTTCACACTTGCCGTTTAAGAAGAGTTGATTTCAGGTTAGCATAAACTTTAATGCAACTGTTCAATAAACATCCACAACAGTATGTTGGTCAGCATGCAATGGACATATCGGTATAAGAGCGTAACATTGATGGACTTTGCACAATTGTTTTTACACTTGCGATGCAAAAAACAAGGCATCAATTACCTAATACATTGTACAACTAAATAAGTGAGGTCTGAAGTGGAGTTGCATAACAAATAACATTTCTGCTATCGGTATTGGAAAAGTAAGTCGCTCGCTGTAACTGAAGTGAGACTAACAGTGACAAGACTTAGTTAACACTGTGGTAAAACTAGGTGAGATGGTTTAAAAAAAATGGCCATGGGAAGGTGTGTGAAGTGAGTGCTAATTTAGGCGGTGCTGAAGAGGAATCGCTCGTGCTGGGTATGAACCAGTCTTACATGTCAGGGGGTGCAATGTGGGATACGATGGATAGCTTCATCTTAGAGGGATGCTCTGAAGCAGGTAGTGCCCCTGCACCATGGGTCATGGGGAGGAGGGAGTAGAGGACAAGCCACTGGAACATAATCTGAGGGCCCGGGGAGGCCTTACATGTGTCTTACGGACACCATGTAGGACAGTTCTGTTGATCAAAAAATATGAACATGTGCTTTTGTGGGTGGGGAGTCAGGTCACAAAGCTTTGTTATTCTCGTCTCCAGTCCATGAGTTTGTCAGACAGTGCCAAACACTGTCTGACAAACTCGCCTTAATGACAGCACTAAAAGGGAAGACCTTATGATTTGGGGTCATGTCAAATCTTTCTTGTCCACGCTCCTCTGGCGTAAGTCTATGCAACCCATTACCACCAGTTGTATGATTGACAGCCAGTGGTGGGGGGCGGGGAGGGGAGAAAAGGCTAACTTATAAAAGTGACAATTTTTATTGAAATCTGTTCTTTATGTAAAATGAAAAAAGAGGATGCAAACTTCATACATAAAGTTCTTCAGCAAGTTTAGGAGCGCCCTTTTAAATTTGAAACTTACTTTAAATCTCTGACAATGGGGACTTTAGTGAATAACCCTGAGAGAGTTCCTCATCGTTGTGTCTTTGTACAGTATAACGGCAAGTGATGTAGATAGCAGACATGGGCATTTTACTTAATCCTTTCAGTTCAACATCCTTATCGTAGGTGGTGAGACCAAACAGAGTATTTTAACATGCAGGGGCTACGGAAATGGTTGCACACAAATCCGTGAATGGAACGGTGTGGCTGCTATCAGTATACTAAGCAATTCCACTCAGTAGATCTGCTGGCTGAACTACATGTCCAATAAATCTCAGTTGAAGAGGAGTTTATGGAATATGAAAAACAAAACTTAGACCACAATAAGAGGCTCCTGTTTGATCTTGAATGGTGGTGCCCGCTGCTACTTTAAAATATTTTTTATGCTTTTTTTTTTTTTTTTAAGTATATCTTTAATTTAATATCTCTTTAATGCATTTAAAAAAAGACAGTCACTTCCAACCATAAAGTGTCCCCAAGACATTAAATGTAATTCATCTAAGGACTACGGTTATATGGGTCAGCTCCACTCAGGACCTCATGTTAAGTAGATCTGAGACGAGAGAAAATTCACAAGAAATGTAAGTAGGTCTGCAATACATGCTCTGTCTGTATCTTTTCTGAAGGCGTTTGAGAAATCATAGTTAAATCATACTATCAATAATCTCCGTTATCTAAATGTATAAAAGAAAATTGAACCAATTATATAAGTAATTGATATACATAATAGCTACCTTTTATACACTGATTTAAAAATACTCTTGACATATGTCAGATCTACTTTAACCCCTTAAGGACACATGACATGTGTGACATGCAGGGGCGGACTGAGAACCCTCAGGGCCCCCGGGCAAAATAAATCAAGGGCCCCCTTACAGGCCCCACCCATACTCTGCAGCAAGCGCCACCCTTGTCCCGCCTCCATGCACCGCCTCCAGCCACACCCTACACAATCTTTAGACACAAGGAACAAAAGGGCAATAAGCCCTTCGAGGCCCCAGCAGAGACTACAATTGAGGGCTAATGGGCCATGGAGGGGGGTCTTTCTAGCGGGGGCTATCTCAGTGTCCTTTAGAGAGTGTGTTAGAAAGAATCCCCTCCAGGCCCCATTAGAGACTACAATGGAGTCTAATGGGGCCTGGAGGGTGGTCTCTCCAACACTCTGGTTTCTATTCACAATATAGCAACACAACATAGCTCGCTGATACCTAGGCCAAGTTGGCTCTTCTTACCTTAATTACTGTTGCTGGCTGGCAGTCTGTGGGCTTGCTTGCTGCGGCTGGCAGGCTGTGGGCTTGCTGGCTACTGCCGGCAGGCTGTGGGCTTGCTGACTGCGGCTGGCAGGCTGTGGCTTGCTGGCTGCGACTGGCAGGCTGTGGGCTTGCTGGATGTAAGCCTGTGGCTTGCTGTAGGCCTGTGGGCTGGCTACTGGCCTGTGGGCTGGCTAACTTGCTGGCTACTGGCCAGCCTGTGGGTTGGCTGGCTGGCTACTGGGGCACTTGTTATTTATTTTAAAGAAATAATCTATGCACAATAACCACTACTGCTCCAGAGTAAGTAGTCAAACCATTTAAGAACAGTTTGACAACTTACCTGGGATCTGCTGGGATATGGGGCTGTAGTAGGGAATAGGAGCAGTGGTGCAATGTGTGTGAAAGGTTCAGTGTGTGTGTGGGGGTGTGTGTGTGAATGTGTAGGGTGTGTGGGCTGTGTATGTGTGTGGCAATGTTAGTATGGGGGGCTGTGTATGGGGGTCTGTGTGTATATGGGTGGGCAGTGTATGTGTGTGTGTGAGGCAATGTGTGTAAATGTGTATGGTGTGTATGGGGGCAGTGTGTGAATGTGTATGGTGTGTGTGTGGGCAGTGTGTTTATGGGGCTAGAGTTCACTCTCACCACTGCGACCACCAGGAATCCCTGGGGGTCACAGTGTTGAGAGTGAACACTAGACCGTAGCTCCAGGGCTAGAGTTGACTCTCGCAAGAGCGGTAACGTTGCCATGGTAATCGCGGCAACGCTCTGTGCTCGTGCAAGAAGGACCCAGAGGAGCTGCAGGGTGAGCTCCCAGGTCCTCTCTTCCTCCCTCCCCTGCCCGCATGGTGCCTGCGGACAGGGGAGGGGGGGGGGCAATTGCCCTGTTGCCCCCCTGGATCCACCAGTGATATCTACAGCCCTTCTGTGTGCCTTTTTGTCTCCCCCCGTCCCTCTGTATGTTTCTTCCTCCCCCCCTCCTTCCCAGTCTCTCTTACCCCTCTGCCTCTTTCTCCCTCTCTTCCACTGTTTTTCTCCCCCCTTTCCCTGTCTCTCTCTCCCCCACATCTCTCTTCCTCTCTGTCTCTTTCTCCCCCTCCCTATCCCCCCTCTTTCTCCCCGTGTCTCATTCTTCCCTCGTTGTCTCTTTCTCCCCCTCCCCATCTCTATATTCCCCCTCTTTCTCCCCCTGTGTCTCATTCTTCCCCCTCTGTCTCTTTCTCCCCCTCCCCATCTCTCTATTGCCCCCTCTTCCCCCCCTCCCCATCTCTCTGTTCCCCCCTCTTCCCCCCATCTCTCTATTGCCCCCTCTTCCCCTCCTATCTCTCTGGTCCCCTCTTTCTCCCCTCCCCCATCTCTCCTTGCCCCTCTGCCTCCTCCTCCCCATCTCTCTGTGCCCCTCTTTAAATCTCTCTGTGCCCCTCTTCCCCCCCTCCCATCTCTCTTACCCCTCCCCCTCCCATCTCTCTGTTCCCCCCCCATCTCTCCTATTGCCTCCTTCCCCCCCATCTCTCTGCCCCCTCTTCCCCCCATCTCTTGCCCCTCCTTCCCCCATCTCTGTTGCCCCTCTTCCCTCTCTCTTCCCCCTCTTTATATCTCTCTTGCCTTCTTTATATTTTCTTGCCCTCTTCCCCATCTCTCTGTTGCCCCTGCTTCCCCCATGTCTCTCCTCCTCTCTTTCCCCATATCTCTCTTTGCCTTCCCCCCCATATCTCTCTTGCCCCTTCTTCCCCCCCATATTTTTCTTGCCCCCTCTTCCCCCCTCTTACTCAAGTCAGAGGGGGCCGGCCGTTTGATGCTGGAGCCGCCGGACCGGGTGGCAGCCTTGCCGGTCCGGCGGCATTCCGCTCACTAACGATGAAGGAGGAGGAGGAGGAGCATCTGTCTATCATGCTCCTTTGCGGTTCCCACATCCTGTGCTGGGAATTGTGGGAACCGCAGGGAGCATGATAGACAGATGCTCCTCCTCCTCCCCCTTCAGTGTTAGTCAGAGGAAAGCCGCCGGACCGGCGAGGCTGCTACCCGGTCCGGCGGCTCCAGCATCAAACGGCCGGCCCCCTCACAGTGTGCCACCGGACCGGCCACCCGGTGGCACCTTCCTCTGCCGCCCCCAATTCAGCCCTGCCGCCGGGCCCCCTGAAGGCGGCCCTGGCGGCGGGCCCCCCTCCCGGCCGGGCCCTCGGACCGTGTCCGAAGTGCCCGACCGGTCAGTCCGCCCCTGGTGACATGTCATGATTCCCTTTTATTCCAGAAGTTTGGTCCTTAAGGGGTTAAGGGGGTTTATGGAAACAGTACAAGCTAGGGTTACATTTGAATTCTATAAAAAAAAATCAGGCTTCATAGCCAAACTAGAAAAATTATCCAAATTTGCTCTGTTTTTCCTGCTAGACTTTTTGAATCTAAACATTGAAAGTCCCATCTTGGTGAATAACTATGTTTGGATTCATTGTGCAGACAGACAGACAGACACACACACCAGTTTACACAGTCACAGTGTATTTACACATCAATTTAACACACACTCTCACACCAACTTGCAGACACAAAAAAATACCCCTTTCTCCCTGATCTTCCATCGTACATGTGCTAGCTGTAATGAGAGGAGAAGGGTATCAGTCTGCGGAGAATGTATCCTTGTTGTGTAGGGGGGAGCACTGTGAGCACAGACTGCTTACTGCTCCCTTTCATGGACTTCTGGGGTTCACAGGCAGGGGACAGTAGGGGTACCAAGTCACGTCATGATGGGGTTTCTCCTGAGAAGCAGATTGTCTGCACAGTGGAAGAGGAAGCCGAGGATTGAAGACCAGTACACTAGGGTTCAGGGACGTAGCCACTCACACAGCGGACTGGTCCCAGAAGAGAAGTCCACCTGGAGATTTTCCATTTTACTTCTGGGTCGGTCCAGCCCTGGTTAAGATCCAGAATTCAAAACGATACAAAATGAAACGTAAAAAATACAATATTATTAAATGGAAGTTATACAATTCATATTTTCTGGTTCTCCTAGTGTCTCTTTGTTTCTTTTCAAGGAGCCTGCTTTCTAGCAAAACAAGACAAGCAAATTGGAAAATCACAAATTCCTACACAAAATCCCCCGAGTTAATATCAGCTTATTGTAATAGCTGTGTTGCGGTATTATATATAATCCATGTGAGATTTCATTCCGACTTCCAAGGATATTTTCACCATTGAGATTTTAATCACCAGCCATTCTGAACTAGCATTCATTAGTAATAGCGAAGGGACAATTAGAACCTGCAGTCAGATGACATTTGGCCTTTTACAATAAACGGTGAATATCACGGTTGGCCATTATAGAACACAGATAACATTATTAAAAAATGAATATAATATGATAGCTTCAGGATACACCAATTAGAAAAGTCAAACATTTCTAGTTTTTTTTCCAGTATTTGTTAAAAAAAAAAAAAAAAAAAAAAGCAATCAAATCTGCCAATTGTCATCTATTTTTAGCTCCAGTCCCTGGAATTGGCCCTCTACCCAACGGTTTAAATTGTGAATTGAATCATGTGCTGTGTGTACAGCTCGGGGAGAGAGATATATTCTATCCATTTGATTGGAAAGAAGAGGATTCAGGTGTCGAAGATATGACAAGGCGATATGGGGCCCAGGTGATTCATGTCATTTAACCACTGGGGTATTTTGTTTAACTGGAAGGGACTTAAAACTTGCAAGTTCGACAGCTACATTTTAAGTGTCAAGAATTATTTGAGTAATGCTGAAATAGGGCTGCATTAGAGCCCAATCTCATTACCTCCAGGGCTAATGTTGGGATTAGAGGGGCTTTTGGTAAGGGGTGGCCTTAGTTTTCAGGGTTTCTTAAGGTTTAGGGGTATTATATATGGCTTCAAGATGCTATGGGCTGTTACTCTCATGATTCTCAGCCAGATGAACTGTAACCCTAACCCAGACCTAAGTCTAAGTCCTTTGCTTTATCTTAGCCCCTTATCCTGCAGTGGCAAAACATGATTACTGCAGGGGGTACACTGCTGATCCCCCACACCAGGGGTAGGCAACATTGGCACTCCAGATGTTGTGGACTACATCTCCTTTGACACTTTGCCAGCCGTTTGACTGTCAGGGCATTATGGGAGATGCAGTCCACAACATCTGGAGTGCCGAAGATTGCATACCCCAGGCCCTACACCATTACAATGCTATGAAGTTGTAATAATGAACAGCAAGGCACACTTTTCAATATTATAATGTCGCAATGAGGGTAATTGTACAAAACATGACATTTTAATGTCACTATATTAAAAGTTCATTTTTGCATAACTCTAAAACTGTTTGCAACTAATGGATGTTCAATAGCATTTAAATATACATTTTTTTTGCTAAATGTTCTGTTCCACTTCTATAATGAACACATAAATCCATTAATGTTGGGGTGAAAGGTTCAGATCTTTCTATAATATAACATCCCATGTTTGCACAATTTAGAGATTAAGGATAAAGACCTATTCTGGGGAAAATGGAGCAATAAACAGTAACATTTACCAGGTTTCCATGGTGACTGCTCCACTTTGAAAATTTACCCCAGAATTTCGCTTTATCCTTCTCTAGGTATAGAATATTTCGTTCTTGATCTGCAATGTATTACTGTCACTTGCATCCTCAGCAACCTGTTCATATCGTCGTTTTGTTCTAGAGCAGGGGTTCCCAACCCAGTCCGCAAGTACCCCCTACCAGTCCAGGATTAAGGGATTACCCTGTTGTGTCTAATGTATTTTTCAGAAAAACAAACAAACAAAAACAAAAACACTTTAGACACAACAAGGTAATCCCTAAATCCTGGACTGGTGGCGGGTACTTGAGGACTGGGATGGGAACCCCTGTTCTAGATCATCTTTCTTTCTATTCCCACCATTGCCTAAACTGAATCAATTAACAAAATAAATTAACTCTTTCAGGACCATGAGTATGCACACGCTGTGTTTCTATATTGCTGGTCCTGAAGGCAGTTCAATGCATGAAACACTCACCCTTATAACCTGTCATTAGTATCCAAAGCCCTCTGGCACCAAAAGGCTTTACCCTTTCACCTCTGGCACACAAAGTGTTAAAACCTTATTCCAATGCCAAGATATTCTTTTAAAAAAAAAAGAGAGAAAAGTCAAATTCCCTCTGTCAGACTGGTCCCTTCTGCTTTTATTGTTGTGCCTGAGGAAGCTCTTCCCAAATAAACAGACACTGACTGGTATTTGCTGCTTGATGTGAAATACCCCATAGCTCTGTTGAAAGATTTTTTATTTTTTTTCATAATAAATTCTAAGCTCTCTGTGGAGTTTCTAGCCTTTCAATTCGATGTTACTCAGGATTCTATTTTGTTTCCTTTCTAACGTTCTATCCTGCAGTGGGAAAACAAGCATGCAGATTGCCTTTATGTTTGGCAGTGTTTTTCCTTTAACCCCTTAAGGACACATGACATGTGTGACATGTCATGATTCCCTTTTATTCCAGAAGTTTGGTCCTTAAGGGGTTAAAGCTGTATTTTTCAGTAATCACCCACTGATGCATTACTGCTGGTGTCAATTCCAAGCTCTCTGTTTCTGCTCTAGTGGCTCCTGCAGTACACTCTCTCACACACACACAGAGCTAAGCCTGTGAGCCTATACCATTCACTTTCCCAGCACACAGACACTTCTACTTTCTCTACTTGAGAGCACATTCTCTGTAGCAGTCTTAGAGGAGGATGGAGCTGTATCTGGAAGGGAGGTAGACTGCAAGCACTCACTGCCTTAAATCCATTCATGTTTATCTACTTCAAGAAAACAGATGGATCTCTCTGCTATCCATGGTTGGCAGGGGTGCATGGGTGCTATACACAGCTGCACTGAATGAGCTTATATTTTTGGAAGGCATGGGTTAAAAAGTCACTCCTCAAAATAATACGAAAGTGGCAACACCATCCCATCATTGCCTCTTTCATAATCGATGAAGAAGATGCAGCTATGTGGGGGGTGGCACAGAGGATCCCAGGAGCATGTCAACCATCATGAGGTCCATCTTTAACTTGGTGAGTACAGAAGACCTCCCCCATCCCCTCTAATGTGGAGTGGAGCACCCTATGAAGGGATTCCAGAGCTGTCCTATGGGCACAGTCTTGTCCTGATTACCTCCTTGCCAGTGATCAGACATGATGGAGGTGAATGTGACTTGTTTGGATTGCTGGACACCTGGTTCTGCTGCTACAGACCAAGGAGAGGAAAAAGCTTCTCCTGGAGTAACCACTGCTCTTGCAGTTGTCCTGATCTTCACCATTGTTGTGGACATCCTGGGCAATGTATTGGTCATCCTTTCAGTCTTCAGGAACAAGAAGCTCCAGAATGCTGGTGGGTACCCCAATGTGGAAAGGGCATTGTAATGGCTAGATCATGGGTTGTCACTAGTAGTAAACAGTGTGTGTAGTTTGATGTTGTGGTATTTGTTTTGAGATATATATATATTCAATGAGAAGTTCCAGCCTTTTAAAATCAAGCCAGCCCTGTACAGTGCACAAAGTTCTCCTTAATAGAATATTCAGAGAACTATAGCTCCATCCTCTAATATCTCCTGCTGGATGGAATGCTTTTCTTAGAAAGAGTTCCCAGAAGTTTTGGTCACTTTCGTGTAGATTGACAAATCACTCAATCAGTTCTTCTCACTGGTCAGAAAGCACATACGGTTATAGTCATTGAGTTAGAGCTTGCTGATATCACATTAACCTACTGATTTATTACCAATTTATGAATAGGTGGCATTTAGCCTGCAATAATTCAGCTGTATCCAGTATCGTTTTTAATTTACTAAACCCATTCAGCTAATGGTAGATGTGATATGTCTGGAGACTTTGAATAAAACCTTAATAAATATAGACAAATTAAACATTTGATAATACTATCAGTGGCTGTCTGTTTTCAGTCTCAGCCATTTAAACATGATCAATCATGGACAAATATATTGCATTATACCATGTAAGAGGTTTTTCTCACGCAGTCCAATCTGTCAGTAATTGAAAGACACATTGTTTTTATTATCCTGTTATAGTTTTATTATTAACCCTGCATGTTGGCAAGTGTCACAGACTTGCGTTATTGAATCTATGGTTCATTTTAAGACTAACACGTTCTCAGTTTATTCGTGATGCCCACGTTTGTCCTAGTTAAATAAAGCTGTTTAACCCTTTAAATTCAGATCCTTTTTATTGCTTCCAAGAAAACTAACTGTTTAACCCCTTTCACTAATATTGCTTTAGTATTTCCAATAAAGCCAACTGTTGAACCCCTTCACCAATGATATATAATTTATGGGACGCTTTACTGTTTAACCCTTTTGAAAGTAATCTTTTCATCATTAAAATAATGCCTGCAATGTTAATTTCAAACATAGGTTACATAGCATATACAATTATGACAACATAAACGTTTTGTGTAGAGATTGCTATTCAAAGATGCCAAATAAAATGCAGTTATCTAAATGTACAGAATAACTTTTTTTAATACATTCTTCCTTTGCATAAGTATTTGGAGGCTATGTAGTAAATATAGTGTCCAGTGCCTTTATAATTAACACAAAATAAAAGCATAGCATGGCAATACAATAACATTTTTGAAAATACAGTACAGTATTTGTTGAAAAAAATAGTCAAATACCCTCCACATAATCATTTAAAAAAAAAAAATCTGCTGGCATTTTCGGGAATGCAGATTCTACAAATGCCAGCATAATTACTAAGTATGTCTGTATACAGTAAATGGAATTGCTTGGCTAAACCCCATGTAGTTCAAGACACCTGCACACATTGATCTGTGGATATTACTGTACCGTACAAGAAGACGGTAACATCACTTACAATCAATATGGACATAAGGCAGGAGAAATAAAATGAGTTTTTTTTTTTTTTTACTGAGAAGTTTGTTTTTCACCCCAAATAACTGCTGAAGAAGAAGTAATTACTAGTGGATATAAAAATGCATTACAGTTTGTACTTGTTCTTAGCAGTGAAGGGGTAATGCTATTTTTAAAGGTAACTCTAAATTAACAACTTTCCCCCCCCAAGTGATTTTATCATACTAGATGAAATGATTTTAGCTGGTCAAAGTCACAGGAGAATATGTAGTTCACTTGTGCATTATGCTGTATTAACAGCTCTAGGTAATCAGTATGGAACCACTTCAGTCATTCTGAAAGATCTACTTAATACACTTGACTTGTGACTTAGATGAAAAACAATCTAGTGGTTGTTATCTAGGGTATTATAGTACTTTCTTTGTTGAGATGGTTAACGCAAAAGAATATATTGATCTTAACCCTATATTCAGTGAAGATATGAGCAGCACTTTATACTACTTTCTTTAATGTTCAATCAATAAGGACACATCCATTTTATTCCAATATACTTGTCTTCAAGATTGTCCATCTCATTAGATCTTTTATGCAACTGTTTCATTTCTCTGCTGACCATTTGGTAAAAAACGGTTGCAAGATGGTCTTACGATTCAGCTTCTATGTGTGTTTGTTTTGTTTTTTATTTATTTTTTTTTTTTTATTTACTTATTTATTTTCTTCTTTTGTTTGGAAACACCATATGCTTAAGAATTGTATAAACTGCAGAGTTGAAGTAATAGTTAAGAGATATCAAATGCTTTAGTTCAGGACTATATTTATAGATACCACTTTTGAATGTAGAGTTTTGATATATCTCAAGCCAATTTTGGGTTGTCAGACCAAAATGGGAGAGTTGGCAGTGTTTTTTGATCAGAACCTAAAATTATCTAACTAGTATTCTGTTTGAAATAGTGACTTAAAAGTCTACCACCTGTGCTGACGTCTAAAAGGTTTTTCTTAGATACAGTAACAAGGGCTGTGAATTGGAGAGCTTTGACCTTGATGTATGGGTCATTATTGGGTATAAAGGTCCAAGATGAGTTAGGATTGCTCTTTTAAACCATGTGAAACTGGCTTTTATTCCATCTCTGCTGATAATTCTAGGATCACAGCCTTTAAAGTGTTGTTAACATAGTCTTTTGGAAGGTTGTGCTGAGATGCTGTACGTTCTATAAAGGAGATTATCTCCAAGCTCCTATCATATTCTTGACAGCCCATGTATGCAAGCAAAAGAATATATCTGCTCCAGTACATAACCTTCCTAGGATAATGCCACAAGCTGGCTAGCTGAGCTGCTGGGTAGATTGCTTCCATGGTAGTTAACTGCAAATTTTTGTGATGCATCAAAAAGATTCATCCCACTGGGAAATTAATAGAACACGTTTATTTAGATGGTGTTTAGTCCCATGCGAGTCACTGATATTTACCCGGCTCCTCACCAAAGATTCAGGCACATTATTCTACATCTTTTGGAGCTGTATTCAAATTTGTTCTTCTTGGAAGGCCATTCAAACCTTAAAGGAACATGAAAGCGTGAGGAATACAGGACTGTATACCTAATGCTTTAGCGTTCTTGACTTTAGATAGCCTCCCCCCCTTCCTCTGTGTGTGCAAATTAAATTCTAAAATAAATATTTTTACTTCCCTTTTATCCAGTGCTGAGACTCCCTCGGTGCTACTTACCTCTCAGCTTCCTGCGATGTCATAGAGCAGTGATGGCGAACCTATGGCACGCGTGCCACGCCTGGCCCTCTCTGTGGGCACGCGGCCGTAGGTTCGCCATCAATGCAGAGTAGGCATCTGCCTGCCCGAAATGGCAGGCGTCTACTCTGCTTTCTTATCGGCAGGACCGGAAGCAGGGGGAGGCATCCAGGAAGGGAGGGAATACTGATTAAAAGGTTTTTTTTTTTTATTTATTTATTTTTTAAAAGCATTTTGAATGTATCTTAAACCCCCAAACAGAGCACCCAAACAGGCACCCTACCCCCAACAGAGCACCCTTACCCCCAACAGAGCACCCTACCCCAACAGAGCACCCCTTACCCCCAACAGAGCACCCTGAGCACCCTTACCCCCCAACAGAGCACCCCACCCCCCAACAGAGCACCCTTACCCCCAACAGAGCACCCTTACCCCCCAACAGAGCACCCCTACCCCCAACAGAGCACCCCCTTACCCCCCAACAGAGCACCCTTACCCCCAACAGAGCACCCTTACCCCCAACAGAGCACCCTTACCCCCAACAGAGCACCCTTACCCCCCCAACAGAGCACCCTTACCCCCCCAACAGAGCACCCCTACCCCCTCACACACAGCATCCTCACACACACACATACACTGCACCCCTCACTGCAGTATGTGTGTGTATTCAGCAGTGTGTGTGTGTGTGTGTGTGTGTGTTTTCTGCTGACTGTGTGGATGTATTCAACTGTGTGTGTGTATTTAGCAGTCTGTGTGTGTTAATTTTTTTTCAGCTGTGTGTATGCATTGCATTTGTTGGAGATACTAATAAATATAAGCTTAATTTTATCTATTAATATCATTATTTAAAATTTGTATAATTGAACTCTCTGTGTCTTTTAAAACAAAAGATGTTAACTAGTTCGGACAACTGTATGAGTTATTTTTTTCTAAACTTAAATCTCAGTATTCAGGTTTAATTGCCGTGTTGGCACTTTGAGGAAAAAAAAAAAGTTGGCATGTATTGCGGTTTGGGCACTCTGGCTCAAAAAGGTTCGCCATAACTGTCATAGAGGAAGCAGGGCCTGCTCCACAAAGGTCCAATCCAATGCTTCTCACAGAGGAGCATTGGGGATGTAATAAGTATGCGCAGCAAGCATTGCGTGCGCATGCAAGTTTTAGTGCCACGGAACCGATTTCACTTCAGTGCCACGGAACTGCCTCTCTAGTTTTGTAAGTATGACAACAACTAGAGGTGGACTTAAAACTGAGCTCCTGGGTCCTCTCTCACTCCCTCCCCTGTTGGCTGCCAGCATAGTGCATACGGACCAGGGATCTCCTCTCTGGTCTGTGAAGGCACATTGTAGGGCTGGCACTTGGGCAATGCCAGCCCTGCATTAGCAGGCAGGGGAGAATCTGGGGGGGGGGGGCAATTGCCCCATTGCCCCCCATGGATCCGCCAGTGGTCTCTACCTGAGTAGGGCATGGTTAGTGACACACGGTTTCTGAAACCTGCCATGGAACACTTAATGGTGACACTGAAAGGTGGTACCAGCACATCAGTTCAAATCCACCTTATTAGGCACTTAGGCATTCTGAGTGAGGAAACATGCTTGTTTTTACACTGTGATAGCCATACCTCCTGCAACAACCACAACACCTGTGGGAATGAAGCAGAGTTGCATGAATGATAATGTGGCCACCACTAACATAATTCATGTCAAACAAAACAAACTTAAAGGGACACTATAGTCACCTGAACAACTTTAGCTTAATGAAGTAGTTT